CAGGCTCCTGAACCACAGAATGCCTGATAATCTATCAATTCAGTAATAGTCGGATTATCACCACAGACATCGCACTGCTTGTTTCGATGGCGTAGTTGTACCGTCCGGGAACTCCCACAGCTCCCATCAAACAAGTACAGGCTTCCAGCAAAGTTTGCTAAAGATTATACGAAGCTCGCTTGGATGAGCTTTAAAGAAGACTCTCAAATTACATTCAAAGAAAGAAAACTTTTGAATACGAAATATCAGTTGGGGCTCCATTTAGTTGTGATAGTTTGTCTGCACTCACGTCTCAATCCTGCAGCAATTTTCAGAACTTCTAGAGCCTGTAAGCTGCCAATGACTCCCACTACAGGTCCAAGCACACCGCCCTCGCTGCAATTCGTCACGTGCTCTGGATTTGGTGGAGTAGGAAATAGGCAGCGATAACAAGGACTCCTCTGAAATCGCAAAGAAAACTAAGTATTGTGAAAGACCCTACATATTGAGAGACCGCACCTTTCCATCATCATCAGTATAGTTGTAGACCGTAAGCTGACCTTCCCACCGTAAGGCACTTCCACTGACGAGAGGTTTCCCCAGCAGAACGCATGCATCGTTCAAAAGATATCTGAAAGGGTATATAATGAGTAGCCAAATCAACTTCAAAAAGCCTATAAAAACCTCGTTGCAGGGTTATCTGAACAGTCCACCACGATATCATATGACTTCAGAATAGTAGTAGCACACTTGCTGTCGAGTAAAACTTTGTGAGGCACGACATTTACAGTACTGTTTAGCCTGAATGATAGGTTCGTTCAGTAGAATTTTGACATAGCTAGTCTAAAAGTGGTTGAGCAGAGCTAACTGTAACCCCACTCAAGTCCCTGTTCTTCTTAACAGACTTTCACTCCATTGACCATATTAACCCTTAAAAAGATTACCAAATGGGAAGTTCCAAGTTGATTTGATTAGGCGACATTCCTGTCAAGATTCGATATCAAATTCGAAAAAGAAAAGGTCCATATTTCCTTTTGTAGCCCCTTGTCAAAGGCGTGACCAAGCCGAGTATGCAAGACCACGACAAATATGAGAGGATTCTAATTGTAAGCTATCGCTCTCCAACATTCCAACATTCTTTGACTCACTGTCCAACCGAATTCTAGCTTTTCAAAAAGTGTACTTCATTCCGGTTACTGCAACCACCTATTCCTTCAAGGTAGAACAGAACCAACCAGAACGCAGCAAGACTTACTCTTCTATGAATCTTTTGAGAGAGTTCACCTTCGGTTCTTCGATGGAACTCTCTTTGTGAGCGATTTGCCGGTGGAGATTATCAATGGCCACCTGAAGATTTCGAAGACTTATCAAATGGCGAAGAAAGTACAGAGCTTAGTTGCGGCTGCGGGTGGGATGTTCCCGGTGCGGATCTCAAACGGCAAGCCATTCAGAAGTGCCCGGTCTCACCCGATGCACCTCTCAGTGGCCTCTTGCCCAAGAAGCAAATGGATACCATTTGCAGCCACACCACAAACTCCTTTCCTAGCTCTCCTACCTCATCATAGTCGACTATTCCGATTGTATGTACGCCAGCTCCAGCCAAGTACATAGCAACTGGACATCCTAGTCCACCAGCTCCAACGATGAGCACTTTAGTTAAAGATACCCTCTGTTGACCTAAACAGCGGACATTTTGTCAGTAATAAGCCCCGCCCACACCACACAATCAACGCCCACCACCACGCACGCACTTACCTTCGACTCCAAAATCCTGAATCAGTAGCTGACGACTATATCTTGTAATTTGCTCTTTGGACAAAGAATGTCTAGCGGGCATCCGGAATTCTTAGAAATTTCCTATAGTGATGGCGCACATGAATAGTTCTATCAGAAGAACCTGTTAAGCTCTAGCTATGCACCACGGTGAATTATAAATATGCAAAAAAACGTGTTAGTTCAACGACGTATTCGACACTTTTAGACGTCAAATATGCTGTTTGAGTATAATACGTACACAACATTATAATTGACGCCAAATGGTTTTTCGAGTTTTATACGTGCAGTTTGCAGCGAGCATGGCTGCGTTTGCGTTTCGCTGTTATTTGCTATCTGGTGCTTCGTCTGACTTGTACCCAGTCATTTCCTAGCTGTTCTTTCTATTCGGTTTTCATTCCTTTCTGCTCTTTCGTTTTCGTTTTTTGGACAGGAATTGAACATTTTCCAAAGCTCCCCTTTTGGCACGTTGGCCGTGTTAATGCACTGACTATCCGTGGGATCGTGATGTTATTATTTCAATTGATGCGGTGACTGATACGTGAATGTTTTGGCGTTCAGAATCTTCAAAACAGGATTTGATTGATCGTTTTTCTCTAGCAAAGGGTACTATTACAATGAGGATGGCTACACATTGCTGTTTAGGACACCTGGGCAGTTTTCCTGTTTTGAATTAATGAATATCATTTTCCTGAGGCCATGTTTATGTTTTCTTGAGCCACCTTTGTGAAAATTTTTCTTGAGAAGTTTCTTAAACTCAAAGGTCGCTTTTAGTGTCATTCTTGTAGAAGTTGTTGTTGATGTAGCGATATGCACAGCACTGTTTCAGATATGCTTAGGGTATGCGCCCGGCAGGCACAATGGCGTGCTCTAAGACCCGTTCGGAACTTGTCGTCGCATTCGGAACAAGCAGATCCCAATATTGAGCGGAAACCCGATTTATACAGGTGATAGTGAACATTAATCATCACCACCTTGATAGAGCACATTGTCTAACGCAAATATTAAGCTTTATTCATCTGAGTTCTTTTTAAGTGATTGATAATGATAGTGTTTGATAGGCTTTATTCGTTATTTGTGGACAACTTTGTGCGAACGTTAGCTGCCGGTAAAGAAACAGGAAATTCTCAGTAATCTTCCTCTTAAGTTTGGGCCAAAATATTAAACTCTTTTCTTATGTGTCGCGTCGTTATGATGCCCTCCTCGTATTTTGCATTTTCTGGTCTCAATTATTTTCAGTTTACAGTAAGTTCATTTTGTAAGCAGTAGTTATGACTATCTAGCCTGCGTTAGCTCATAGTAGACGGGCCCCTTCACGCCCCACAAAACTATGAAGCAATGCTTGCATTACCTCGAAGGCAAGTGTCTCCTACAGTGAGGCAGTTCAACCGATTGTTAACAGTTGATCGGTGATCGGTGCTTCCCGCAAATAGGTTGCTGATAACTTGAGCTGCCACATTCGCCTAGTAGAAGATGGTGGTACGCGTAGGGTGTTGTCCACTCATTGATGATAACGTGCGAAGTTCATGCGCGTGCCCTTATTTAGTGATATGCTGTTTGCTCGGGGAATGTCCTAGTAGTCTACCTCCCTTGCAATTGTAGCCACATTGTTAGCACAAAATTTTTACCGCTTCCAGTTTTTTGTTACAGAACTTTCTTGCCAGTAATAATGCGTAGAGACCTCCGTTTCTCAACTTTGTTATGTTTATCAACAAAGGTGATTTTATGTTTTAAAATGGCTTTTATAGACCTGGGTCAGATTCGTACGCTTATGATAATCCTTGGCCGAAGCTTAACGGTGGTCGACTTGACTGGCTATTTGGTGATGGCTGGAGGCGCCCTTTGGCTAAAGACCAAGGAGCTAAAATGGTGGGTATTTCGATGTGTATTCTTGCATGAGTCATAGTAATGTGAATGGTTGAAGAAATGTAACGTTGGGGTAAACAATTGACATTAACACTAACACGAACCTTCAGTGAAAAGAGAGGTGAATTCCGTGAAAATCTGGTATTGTCATTCCTTTCCATCCGTTTATTTTTAGCGTCGAGAGTGGATTTGGTTTGGACGAGTAGCCCATGATGAACACAAGGATTGGTTGAAATTCCATCAGGTTTGTGTCTTTTTTCCTTTGATATCCCTCTACCCCGTATAGTTTCGCTTTAGTGCCGCTTCGATTACTTACTGGTGTTTTACTTAGTTACGTGTAATTCATGCATGTTTGTGTATTCATTAATATACGTCTGTATTGCCTTGTTAATCTCCCAATTTACTTCCTGTCCAAGAGAGTTGTATGACAGAAATGGGAAACTTTATCGGAGTTTCTAAATATTACTGATTTTGGAGTTCATTTCTCGGCGCTAAACCCCGGCAAACTTTCTACATAACTTCACAGAAGAAGACTGAGATTACGAGTATAAAACATTGTAGTCAGAGTTATCTTTTTAAATCTTTGGTTACGGCCACTGAAAATAGTAGTCGGAATTGAGAGTAGATAAGCAATGGCTGTTAACCTTATACCGGTCCGTACTTGACACCTTTGTTATCGTATCCACATTTTTTATATGGAATTTTTACCAAATTTAACTTTTTGTGGAAAAACGTTCCCGCCAACTTGATAGTTGTGTATAGAACACCATCAATTACTTGAGTAAGAGTTATCAGATACAGCGGTATGTAGTGAGTTGAAGCATACACGTTTTAGGGCGTCTTTCTTACGTTCACAGTGCTAACTACATGGGTGACATGCTGGATAATATTTGCACGTCCTGATTGGTATGTTTCGAACAATTTTCCGTTACTTTCGTAGTTCCATTTGTATTTGTTTACTGCTCATTATTTTTCCATGACGTACCTCTTGATTTTGGAGTGTTTCCTTCTGTTCAAAGATGAAAGATTTGTTCCTCAAAAGTACTTCATGAATTCGGTAAAAAAATAAATTAGTTTATTTTTTCTATATAGATTTTCGATATGTTGGAAGGTTAATGCAGATATACATATTACAATTCCTCTTATTATGGATCACATATTTTTCTGAAAATGAATATTAACCAAAACGGCACTATACAAAATGAATATTTCCGAATCCATTCGTCTTTTGGGTCCGGAAGATCCCAAGTACTTACTAATTTTAGGCGCAAAACGTAAAAATTAACTATAACTATATAAAAATTAACTACGTCAAATTAAAAAATTAACTATTGAAACAAAATGCGAGCTCGCCGCGGTAGATATATTTTTCGTAGCATATTTTCATATTGATTGAAAGTTATTTTTCCACAGCTATGTGATGAAAGGGCTTACATAGGTACTTTTTTGTAATTGTGAAACTTTTCTTGATTAATTTGTGTTCCTACCTAATAAATAAATAAATAATTCTTAATTTTAGGCCTATGGGTCGCGAATGGGCTTTACGTGAAGCTCATTTGGAAATTGCAAGACGAGAAAAGGCTGGTCTACCTCTTATAAGTCCTGACTTGCTTCCAAGGTTGGTGAAAATGGAGTTTTTTTTGAATATAATTAGTTGTTCTAATTCAGTAGAATGTTTCTTCCAACCTTTTTTTCCTTTCAAAGTAGTAGTCGGCTACGGTCTACCATATCTATATCAGGCTCCAGTACTTTACTACAAAGACGCCATTTCTTTATTGAAATCTCGACTTATCCCCTTTGCCATGAAAACGCTTATTCATGATGTTTAGAGGATTTCCTAGGTGTACAAATTCTTAAATAATCTCCTTACCATGACATGGCACGCTTTCAGGGAGCGTGTTATGGCTTCACTACCTGCCGATGAGGAGCTCCGTGACTTCGACATCTTGATCTAGTGACTTTCAGATTAGTTTTGTAAATGTTGATTGCTGCCAGAAAATTAGAACTTCTAGTTGTCGTTGATAAACGAAGTGAGACATGGGCTTTTAAAGAAAGACTTTCGATTCTAGGGGTGATGTGGCGTTAATTAGTAGTAGATTTGTTTTATAGGGACTGCTCAGCCGTGTGCGTTTGTTATTTTTTGTGCATGTTGTGGTGAAATAGCCTAGAATGTCAATTTAAACTTCTAATAAATGCGACATTAGCACTTCAAAGGAAGGATAGTCTGTAGGCCTGCTTACAGACACCCAATGCTTACTGTTTATGACATACACGAAATTGTTAGATCGAGTTTCCCTAAGAATTAGAAAGGGGGCCATTTCCTCCCTCTCATCTTGGCCTCATCGGTTTCTGCCCTTGTACCAATATCAGCCATATATTTCAAAATTAGGTTACGATACCTCAGCCGTTGTGTAGGCAGAATATGAGTACTGCAGTTTACATTTGATATCAATAAATGTATCAATAAGCTCAATTGGGGTATGCCTCATCGACATCTCCTATCACCTGTTATTTTCTCGATTTTGGCAATAAGAGTACGATAGTAACAAATATTTATAAATATCACAAACAAATTCAAGAAAAACGCAGTTAACATCGTGTCCAGTGGCAATAGAAAAGAAGATATGTAATGGAACATGAGGCCTAACAATAAGTACTAGTATTTACAAAGACCGAACAGAATTAGTATTTCCATGGAGCTTTTGCCTTGTTTACTGAAAGCCTCGATTTGGAATCAACACTACGAAGCCGCGACGATGAGGTGCTTCGCCATAAACGACTCCCTCGATCGGAATCACTAAAAATGAATGTTGGATTTTAATAAAAAAATTAAATCAATAGTTACGTGGCCTTCGTTTCGGGTTGTGAATTACCGTTAGAGTAGGTGAATGTTTTTTTGAAAAACTTTGGAGGGAAGTATCAGTAAGGTTGAACGGAACCAATTGAAAAAAGCTAGGATAAGTATGTAATGGTATGAGGTGGGTCAGAATGCGCTAGGCGCCCTCTCAGCGCCGAAATTAGGTTACCGTGCGCGTAAACTAGTTCGGCGCGAGACCGTAATGGAGTTTTCTGACCATATTCAACGTGAAATAACATTACGAAGGCATCTAAACTTTTCCTCACATTTTTCTTTGTAAAGCCTCGGTAAGAACAGCAATATCGAAATCAGATCCACTTTTTGTTGTCAGTCCTTTTGGATAGAAAGTTTTGTAGACTGGGATGCCTGAAAATGATGAACTTTTGTACCTCTTCTTGCTCTTTTTCTTGGAAAGACGTTAAAAATCTCGTAAATCTCAGACCCTCTGAGTCCATATGAGCTCAACTTACTTCCAGACAAATGAACGGCTTTGTAGCCTCGTTCATGTAGTACCGTGGTCACCATCGCGGCTGACTGACCGTAGATTACCAACGTTCGTTTCGCAAGTCGAGCTGACGACAACAACGGCGTTTCAAAGTGATTGCGGGACAGCATAAAACGATTATAGTGCTCTGCTGAAACCATGATACATTACTATCGATTCGAGCTAAACAGTTTGGCATTCCGTAAAAAATGGAATTCTACTGAACAAAATAAATAAGGTAAGCCATCATTACGACTTAATGTAAACAACAAAAATCGGGATCAAGTACTTGATGAGAAAGGAAAATGTGGGTTGATTGGAATACTGGGTTTGAATAGTAAGCAGAAGTGAGGGATAGAGCGCAATAGTGTTTATTATCAGGCAACAAGCTATAAACAGAGAAGATAGAATAAATTTAATATGTGGATTTAGCCCGGAAAATGCACAATCCACTGTTGGAACCTTTTCTGAGTGGACAGCCTTTGTTCTACATACATTTCTACCGGGGGACGGAGGTGACATAGTGGCAAGTAGCGCACTGTCACACACATGTTCACCGGATAGAATCACAGATTGATATCCGCCTAAGCAAATTAAGCCTTCCACTCTCCGGGTTCGCTCAGTTGGTGCCAGACTTGTCTAGAGGGTTAAAAGCACTGACTTGTACATCGGCTGGCCTCC